GAGAAGGAATTTGAAGAGGAAGGTAAAGGAGAACAAGAAGGCGAGGAAGAGGAGGAAAAGAAAAAGGAGGAGAGGAAGGGAGGGAGGAAGAGGAGAAGGAAGGGAGAAGGAGGAGAGAAGGGAGACAACTATTCCTTCCTCCCTCATAATTCTCTGCACAACTTGCCTGTGGTAAAAATGCTTTGCCTCAGAATGCTCTGATACATGTAGTTAGATTGCTGGCATTGCAGGGAACTTCCTAAGACATTTTTATGGGGATCAGAGTCCAGATAAAATGAGCTCCCTTTACCTCCCTACCCCCAACCTCCCCAACCCCTGCAGCCGCTGTTTTTTGTCAAAGATAGTTGTAGTTACAGGTCATTAATCATCCATCATCCAGACAGACTCTGACAAGAATGCTGATAGCATCAGAGGCTGCAGGGAGCAGACCACAGAAGCAGGATCAGGGAGGCAGGCGGGAATGGGGGTGGGGGGGAGTCGGGAGTGGGGGTGCACATTCTCTCCACCCTGCTGTAAGGCCACCAACCCAACAGCCTCTGTTTTTTAGCTCCTTTTCAAAGACTGAAGGCTCAGAGAGGTGGTCAAGCTCTCAGACAATGGGGTCTTCAAAGAGTTACAGCATTTCCAATCCATCCAAAATGCTGGTATAAATAAAAGCTATCAGAAGCATTGAGTACCTTTAATTAAAGGCGTTTGCCATATTGACTTATACTCTGGGATATGCAAATGAGTTGTTTCTATCATTTCTTCTACCAACAACAGTGCCATTCCCGCTCTAGATGCCAGCTAAAACCATTTGTGATTTAAATGGTATGTGTATGCATGCACACCCACTTTTACGAACTCAGAGGAGGACATATGAGCTTCCTCTATAATTTTTTAATGCAACATTTGGGACATCTGGTATAATATAAGAATAATATTGTTTCATCTAGGATAAGTAGATATCTCAAAGAAAAACAAGTGGATAATAAATTAAAGTCCAAAGCTCTCTTGGATGAGAAATTTCAGTAAACAAGTATTTGCTTCTCTCTCAAAAAGATAGACCAGTATTAAAATCATGTTATAAAACTCAACAACAGTTCTTAAAAAGAAAAGTCTGAACTATTCACAAATAATTTTCTATAATAAAGAGGCAAAACTTATCTCATTTTAGAGGTAAAAATTTGGAGGCTATAAAATGAGGTGTCTATCCCATGTCACTTGGGAAAGTCTCATTTTGTGACACCCCATTTAATATGCATTCCATTAGCCACCCTGTCAAAGACCCTCATTTCCTTCCTGAGACATTGACTTTAATGGACGGAACATCAAATTCTGGCATACGGAAAAACTTATTTCCTTTTCCAGTTCTCTCAGGGAGATGAAGGAGAGAGGCAAAGAGAGTTCAGTGAGGGTGAAAGGTTGAGGTGGAATGAGTTAGATTTCCCTGATTTGAGGTCAAGGCTCAATCGCTGAAGTTCACTGAGATCTTGTGGATTTTCTGAATCAGATTAAAAGGGATGGGTGTGACTCATGGGATTTTTTTCAATTTTTAATAACAGAAAAGATTTCAGGGGTTAATGTAGCTGAACTCCTTTTTTTTTTAACCCCATCCTCTCCATCAGTCAATGAAATTGCTCAGTTAGGAGACCATGTGTCCTGTGAATGGATAGCAAAGCTAAAGAGGGTTTTACCCCCCATGTCATCTACTCAGCCTTATTAAGTGTCATGAAATGTTTGCTTTAAGGACAGTCCCAGTCATTCATGTAATTCAAGCACACTGAAACTTGTCTGCAAACAGGAGCATTCATAAAAGTTTGAAGGCAAAATATAAAGCCATTGAAAGCTGCTTACTGAGACGGGCACATGGCTTGCTGGTGGACAGTTGTGATACATTAGGTATGTGACACATTAATTCAAAGCACAGAATTCCATGACCACCACCCTTACCCACTTTTCCTCATGCCCACACAAGAACTCCAAACAGGTTCAAATAGGATGGGAGTTTAAATAAAGTTTTCAAATGAAGAAACATACAGAGAGCCCCAAGTCAATAAGTGGGTTTTGCATGGTTATTTTTGCCAAGGATTTCAGTCCAGCCACTTTCATTAATGCTCATATGAGCAACTGCCAAGCAAACTGAGCAAATACCCTTTAAGGTCTGAAACAAAGTCCTCTCTCTTTACATTAAACAAAAAAGAGAAAGAAAAATTCGACAGCAGGGTCCAGACATGTCACAGGACTCTGTCCATAAATAAAAGGTTTTATTTAAAAGATAAGGTGAACTCTGGGGGTATCTATACTGGTCTCTCTCTGTGAGATGAATGCTATGACATTTGTAGAAAATAAAACTTGCAGAGAAGCCAAGACTTTTCTTGTCAAAACAAGGAGATTATTTGCTACCAACTGAGTTGAGTCTCTTTAACCCTGTCTGCCATGAAGGTAAATGAGATATTAAAAGAGGGAGCAAGAAATTGAACGAGATAGCTGATGTGTGAGGAAAATGAAAAAGATATTTTAATATTTCTGGAAAACTCTAATCTAACCACATGCTTTTAGGCTAAAAGATGCATTCTCCTTTGCTTTCAACTGTTTCTCAGGACAGAGCAAGAGTGTTTAGAATCAAGTTTTTATTTTTATTTGTGTATTAGAGGTGGTGGCTCCTCCCTTTTTGAGGGACTCCTAATTGGATCGGCTGCTCCCTCTGGGTCCTGGAGCTACAGACCATGGCATGCACGGGGTGGGGGTGGGGGGGTGGGGAGGGAAAAGGGTAGGCCATCCTCGCTTAGATGTACTGGCAATAGGGGACCTGGCTTGCCTTGTAAAAGTAGCTCCGGAGCAAATCATTAGCACATCTAACCTCAATATTTTGAAATCCAGAAACAACATTGAGTCATGCTGGTCATACTGTAAAACTTTATTGCATTTTTAAAACCAAGTCAAAAACAAGCTGGGGATCATGTGAATTATCTCTTTACATGTGTCAAGCTCAGGAATTTGGCACATGGATCAAAATGATGGAATGGAACAGGGAAGCCACTGGGAGCATGTCATTAGAGGAAAATTGCATCGGCCCCTGGGAATGTGTGGCACTTCATCAGGCGGGTTCCCCATTGTCTCCACCACATACCTGGCAGGGTCTGAGCTTTGAAAAACTGAGGCTATAAATAAACTCTGTCCTGTGCTAAAAATAGAGGCTCTTAAAAACAAAAGAAGCCAGAGGAAAATGTACTGACCACGGCAGACATGACGGGTGCCTTCCAGCATCTCGTGATGAGCTGGCCATGTCTCTGTGATCCTGTGAAACCTGGAGCTCTCAGACAAGATTTCAGGGAGGAAAGCAAAGGAATTAATTAATCCTTTGTGAATACCAAGGAGAACTCAGTATTCAACAAGGAGGAAAACTATCTGTCAGCTCTCCCCCAGATGCTTTGAGACTCCAGGTCTACCTTCTCTGGATTGTCAACGAGTTCACCTCAGATCTCAACTTTGTAAAAATGCTGCGTAGATGGGAATCCAGGAATGGCTCCTTCATCTGTGGCATCCAAGGCCACAGGACCACATGGCTTCACTGGGGTCCAGGGCTACTCAGGATGCCTTCACTAAACTGCCCAGGATTCAAACCAACACCTTGAATAATGAGAAACACTTAACAGATGAATATAATCCAGTGAAGCATTTTACATGACACACAAGTAGACTTGCTGTGCTAAGAGCTAAAACAGACTGTTTTGTCTAGTTACAGTAATTAATCTAACATAGCACTAGTACTAGCATGGACAAGGAAGTCAAAGGACCAGAGTAGAATGTTTAGAAGCAGATCCTAAATGTCCCATATTATATAAAAAGGGTAGAAGAGCCATTCAGTGAGGAACAGATAAATTGTTACTAAATTGTGCATATATACTAAACATATTTTGTGCACATATTACCGAATTGTGTGTGGCTAACTGTTCAGACCTCACAGTCAAGGGCTGGGATTGCAGCTCCTGGTTAAAACACTTATCTAGCATGCACAAGACCCCGGATTCCATCTCCAGCACTGCAAACAAAACAGAGGAAAACAAAACATAAAGTTAGAGATTCGCCTCTTCTTTGGCTTATACTAAAAGAAATTCCAGATGGATTTAACATAAAATCGTAAAAGAAGAAAATGTAGCTGTTTATATAATTGTTTTATGAGAAGGGACAACCTCCCTAATCATGACACGAGAAGTAGAAATCATAAGGGATAAAGACCAATGAATGAAAACAAAATATCTGTCCATGGATCACACGGAGAACCATGGGAAAAGAGATGAACAATCAGTTCATAAAAGAGGAAATACAGAGTCGATGAACCCATGATAGGCCTCACTACTTACCAAAGAAATCAATATTAAGGCAACAGACTATTAGTATACCCGATACACAAAACTATTTTACATTTAAATATATGTATGGGGATATAAATGATTTAATGTGCATGTCTACCTATATCTACAACAAAGATAAATGCAAAAAGAGGTTGATAGTTTGCACTAATTAATTCTAGGACAGGCAGGGCTATACAGCTGTGTAGGGTAGGGGGTATGTTGGTTTCATTGCATGATCTTAAAAAAGAAAAGAAGCTTCTGGGCCCATATCACATGCTGAAATATCCAGAAAGGTAATGGTATGTATTTTGCAAAAGGAATCTATAACTTTTCTGTCTTGCGACAGGATTGGTTATGCTTTTGAATCTTTTTCCATATTTTTGAAATGATACACATAAAATTTTTATTCATTTGAAAAATATTTCACCTGTGAATGTGAGAATCAGAGAAACACTAGTGGATAAGAAGAAAATTTCAACAAATAAAACCAGAAAAGTGTTTTGGAAGCATAATTAGTCTAATTAGAATGAATCCCTTGCTCTGCGTTGCCTCTGAAGCAATCTGGCCACTGGGTTCAACAATTGAAATGATGTTTTTAGCTCCACTACTGACCCAGCAAGTCACATAGTGTAGTTTTATTGAGAAAAACATGTGAGAAGTGTCTCCAAAGTACTTGAAGGAGGGTAAGCACTGCCTGCCTCATTCTTTGAAGCAACTAGCAGTGGGGAGCATGCACTAGTTAACTGATGAACTAATTGGCCTACCAGACTCCCTAATCACCCATTTTCAAAGCAGCAAACAATAGTCATAAGTGGTTGTAATCGGCCAAGGAAGTGCTGCATTCAGCCTGACTTGCTCTCTCGTTTGTGTGTGCATGTGTGTGCGTTTGTCTTGTTTTTGTTTCCTAGTCCTGGGACCCATCATCATTTCTGTACTTGTTTTGTTTATATTTCCAAAATGCAAATTGTGACTTTCTGCCTGGGAACACCACAAAGTCCTTCCTTACAAACACTGAGACCACAGGAAACGAACAGATTTCCCACAAAAGAAGCTTTCAACTCCTATTAGATTCAATGATATTCATTACAGGTTCCCAGAAAACAAAAATATTCTTTTTTCTTTTTTTAATGAAGTTGGAATCTCTGAGATCTAAGTAAGGAATGAGAAAAGCAGCACTTAGAGGTCTCTTTACGGACTTAAGAAAAAAAAAATTTCCTTGGAAAAGCACTTAGATTTTAATGGAAATTTCCAGAACTTTCTATATGATCAACACAGTCATGGTATATTTGATTATATTAAAAAGAATAGACCCATGAGTATGCAACCTTTTCTCCAAAAAGACTAAAGAATATTTTTAAATAGGGCTGGCTCCGAGGCTAATCATGAAGATAGATGATTATCCGATGCTATCTATGAAGATAGAAAGCTGGCACAAGAATTATATCAGGGATGATTTGTATAAGGAATAGAGAGAAACTTCCCACACTGGTCATCGTTTACTCCATAATCCCCACAAATCTCATGCTAACATGTGTGTCCACTTAACATGTGATTAGACATAAAAATTCTACTTTTATTCTAGAAACATCAGATGTTGCACTATGACACGGTTCATCTGTCAATCTAGGATAAGTCCTTGGTGTCCAAGAGCATCTTCACCCCTAAATTCTGGACTTAACTGTATCTGCTATAATTGCTGCTACCAACTGCTACCAGTACCCAGCTCAATTTGACTGAATTCCAATCAAAACTAAGAAAAATTTGGACTGTAAGGTAGGTGCTTAAGAAATGTATGTCACCAAAAGACCTATCTATAGCATTATTTTCTTTTTATATATGGAGTAATTTTATTTCTTTGGTAATCAAAATCTCTCCCACACTGCTCTAGTGCAGAGCCTATGATTCATATTGCTAGTTTTCCCTACAGGGCTAGATCACAGAAGATTTTTTAAAAATATATAATTGTCTTATTTGAGAGGGACTAAGTCTAGCAAACCATTCCTAAACTTGACCATAAAGAACAGAGAACACCACTTGGAGGAAAGAACCAAGGGCGATCAAATGTGTGTCGTGTTGAGACAAAAGCAAAAAATCTCAAAGACCATGACTTTGCTAAGGCTCCTGGGCCCTGACAGGATGTTACAGAGGACAGGGACAACAAGGTCATGCTAGGGTGATGGATACTCACAGGTGGGTGGGATAGAAGAAGGGTACCACTAGAAGAAGAGATTGGTGGCAAGGTAGTCAGAAAGCTGTCTACCAGAACATTCCCCCAGGGATAGGCTTGGCCTATGTTGTCTTCATAAGAAAGTTGTCTTTGAGATTCTTATAAATAATGATTATTTACCTCCAGATTTGGGAACATCTGGCCTAAAGACGGAGATGATCCCACCATCCTTCATTTTCCAGCATTTATCATAAATACCGTGATCAGTTTCTAGACTTCTCCTCTTAGGTAGCATGAAAAAGCAACAGAAATTAATATTATCCCCTCCATCCATTCCCTGTTCAAACTGTATTTCAAAATAATGAGTCTTTCCATAAATGTTTTTGTTACAAAACACTTGGAAGAAAACATCTGAGATAAAATGACTGTATGCTTCTCATAAAACAATATTCCTGGGACTATGTCAGAATCTTCCCATTTTAAAGAAAAATGTCAATTGTTTTTAAATGTCTTCTAAAGGACCACAATGAGATGAGCATTTGTGTGTTTTTGGAGGGGATGTTGAAGTGTTTGAAGTCGGTCTGAATTTTTCTCTAACATGATAGATTCGGTGATGAAGGCCTGTTACATCCAGCGAATTTGTCTTCCAATTGGTGAGATAGTTCTGGAGAATTAGGTGACAAGTGCATTTTTTTTTTTTGATTTCACAAAATCTACTTCTGATTTTCTTCAGTTGGCATTTTAATTAGAAAAGAAAACACTATTTCCACAGGTTGACACAGAAACCTCAGGATCTCACTTACAATTTCCTGGGACAGAAGAGTAAGTGACAGCAGGATAAAGTCTGCTCCCTTTGGGACACAGAACTGAGGCAGGATCTGCCAAGTTGAAGTGTCCTGACACCAGCCCATGTAGAGGTTCTTGAGGTGGGTCCACATGAGGCTTTTCAGGTGGGGTCCCTGTGAGTGTCTGAATGTTTATGTGTGAATAGACATTGTCCTTAGGCCATGGTTTTCATTAGATTCAGAGGAGACAACTCCAAAAAGATGGAGAACCATTGATATCATGTAAAAGCAAGTGAAAAAGTCAGTTTGAAACAAAAGCATCTTTTGGAAAGAAAAAAAAGTATGGAATCAAATAACTGCAGGAGGGAAGGAGTGGTTTACTCCTGCGTTTTCCTGAAACCCACTCCAAGACCTGGGGAAGGATAGCAGCAGAGCCTTGTTCCCTCAAGGTGGACCTGGTCACTGAGCAGTCTGCATGGCTTAATCTCCCAGGGACAAGGTGGACTTCTATGATTTTACAAATATGTCATGGGATGAAAGGGCAGACCCACCGAGTCCAGAAACTGAGATGAAAGAATTTAGGAAAAGGTAAAGAATGTATGAGGAACAAGCATCAGGATCAACAGGCTTCTGAACAACTCAGACCTACACCGTTTCATAGTTAATGTCTGAAATCAGTGATGGAAGAGAACATACCACCACCCTTAATAATCACAACAAACTCCACGTCTGCAAGATTTTTTGACCTATAGATATTAATATTAATATCATCTGACATTAGTGTGGTCAAAAGCTAGGACTGATGATCATGCAGTCACAAGCTTGCTACACAACTGTGTACACACAAAGTCCAGCCAGCAGAGAAAGAGCGCTCTAGAGCTGTCTGGAGAAACATGACCAATAAGATGAGGAGGTCAGGTAGAGGAAGGAAGGAAGGGAGGGAGGGAGGGAGGGAGGGAGGGAGGAATTAGCTCAGGTGATTATGGAAACTGCCAATTCGGTCATCCTTACAGTTCTGATAATCATGGCTGGACTTCACTAAGCAATCACTGCATGGTAGAAAATATGCACGTCACACATGTTGCCTCCTCATAACAACTTTGAAAAGGAGGTTCTGTTATTTTCTGCATCTTCAAGATGAGGCAACAGAGGCATGAAGTTCAAGACTAGGCAAGAAAGCAAGGTGCAAAGCTTCAAATACAGTCAGTCATGGCCCCAAAGTTACACTTCCAACTGCCTCTCCTGTGTCTCGTGCATGTCTTCCCATTCAATAATGCTTCAGGGCGACATGACTTTTCAAAGTTTTCAGAAACACTTTTGGTGCCTGCATGTGCTAATTGGAAACTGACTTCCTCTCAAGACATACTGTTCTTTTTAAAAGCCAAACATAATTTAATATCATATATGCCTCTTAAGGTAGTTGATAAACTCAGATAATACAAACTTGGTGAGGTGTGTCTGCAACATAGAGGGGGAATCCTCAAGTGCCTGTCATGTACTATCTCTGAAAAACATAGCAAAACTAGAGTTTGGTCAGTGCTATGGTCTGAATTTATAGGTTGAAACCTTGGAGGTCATGGTATTTGGAGGTGGGAACTTTGAGAGGTGATTGGTTAATGAGGGTGGAGGCCTCCTGTGTGGGATTAGCACCCTAATAAAAGAGACCCGCTGCAGAAAGCCTGCACCTCTTCCATTTATATGAGGACATAGTGACAAGGCATCATCTAGGAACCAGGAAACTAAGGGGTCCTTGTGTGTTCTGGTTTAGATAATGAGGTGTCTCCCAAAAGCTCATGCGTAGACAATATAAGAAAGTTTAGAAGTAAAATGATTGGGTTATGACAGCCTTAACCCAATCCGTGAATTAATCCCCTGATAGGGACTAATTTAGTGGTAACTGAAGGCAGGTAGAAGGTGGAGGATGTGAGTCATAGGGGGCGGGGTGCCTTTGGGATATATATTCTATCCCTGGCAAGCAGAAACAGAGTGTCTCCCCCTCCCCTTTCTCTCTCTCTCTCTGCCTCCCTGTGCAAAGTCCCCAGCTACTTTCCTTTGTGATACTCTTTCTCCATGATGTTCTGCCTCATCTCAAGCCGCAAGGAATGGAGCCAGCTCTGAAACCATGAGCCCTAAAATAAACTCTTCCTCCTCTAAAATTGTTCTTGTCAGGTCTTTGGTCACAGCAGAGAAAAAGTTGACTAAAACACTGCCAGGTATCCAAACTTCTGATGACTTAATCTTGGAATTCCCAACTTCTAGTGCTGTAACAAATAACTTTCTTCTGCTTATAAGCTACCTGGTATGTGTTACTTTGTTACAGTAACCCAAAATTGCTAAGATAGTCAGGGATTCAAAGATATAGGTCATCGATATGAAAATGTTCTATACTAATCACCTTGGACAGTAAGAAAATTTAATCCAGTGATTCCTGAAATTTCCAGCAGAGGAAGAGCTGTGACTTTACATGTTAATCCCTTGCCTATACTCCAAACATAGAGCACCATTAGGTTAAAATAAATTAATTTTTAAAGTTATAACCATGACCAAAAAAAAAAAATTCCAAGATGAATGACTTCTTGAGTCATAAACAGAACAGAATATACAGCAGGACATGGGAACTAAAGTCTTCCTGTGGACTTCAAGATTAAAATACCTATAGAACCAGAGTTGAAGATGATTCTCCCTAGTGTGAATGGGGCCTCCATGCTGGCTATTAAGTCATATGGAGTCGCTTCTTGATGTGGTAGGAGGGTGTAGGGTACAGTCTTGGGGTGAGCAAGTCTTGCAAGCTTTTGCAAGCTTAGCAATGGGAGTTCTGACATCCTACGGAAGAACCGTTCTGAGCTGTTGAGATGGAGGCAACAGAGAAATATCCACATGGAGATACTAACAGAGGGAAAGGAAAATAAAACAACTTCAAACAACACACGCTTCTTACCTTATAGTTCCTTTGGGTCAGGAATTTGGACACAGTGTCCCTAGATTCTTTGCATCACTGCATTCAAGAGCCAGGACTGGACTCTCATCTGGAAGGTCAAGTGAGGAAAGATCTGATTCCAGGCTCATTCAGGTTTATTGTCAGAATTTATTTCCTGGCAGTCGTAAGACTCATGGCTACTTGCTTCTTCAAAGCATCAAGAGGAGTACAAGACTCCAGGGCCAGGCTTAGCACAACGTGATGCAATCCCAGGAGGGACATCCATCACTGCCCTATTCCATTGGTTATCAGCTTAGTCAGTTGTTAGGGTCTGTAAACAAGTCAGGATGGCGCCTGGCATTTTGCAGAGGGAGTGGTTTGTGAAGTTAACTCCAGCGAGCCATTAAGTGTGGAGATTCCTTATTGGTTGACTGCTGTATCTAGTTTATGTTAATTAAGATAAGCTGTGTGGAATGTATATATATATATATACCCCTCCTATCCTACAATAAACGGCTCCCACTCCTGCTGTATCAATGTACACAAGTTGCTCGTCACCACGCAGTTAGTTTGCTGCAGCCGGACTGCGGCAGTCAGTGATTCTTCAACTGCTTTTTTATTGGTGGGGGGTACCGGGGATTGAACTTAGGGGTGCTCAACCACTGAGCCACCTCCTCAGCCCTATTTTGTATTTTATTTAGAGACAGAGTCTCACTGAGTTGCTTAACACCTCTCTTTTGCTGAGGCTGGCTTTGAACTTGTGATACTCCTGTCTAAGCCTCCCGAGCCTCTAGGATTGTAGATGTGCACCACTGTGCTCAACCTGATCTTCAACTTCTAATAAATGCCCTGAGGAGTTTATATAAAAAGAAATCCTGGATTCCACATAGAAGTATTAATTCAGTAAGTCTGGCCTCTAAACCAGTCTGATTAACAGGTAAGCCAGTTGGTGGTGGTCTGAGTATCGCAAAACATCAGGTTCTTCCACCTTAAGCCTGATTGCAAGATCATGGAACCCTGGTGGTGGGGTATTGGAAGGAAGTTAGGTCATTGAGGGGTGCCCTGGAAGAGAACACTGGGACTCTGACCTCTTCCTGTCTCTCTGCTTCCAAGCTGCCATGAGGTAAGTAGCCTTTTCTGCCACTAACTCCCACCATAACATACTACGCTATTATAGGCCCAAAGGTCTTGGGCCAAGTGATCATAGACTAAAACTGCTGACACGGTGAGCCAAAAGAAACCTTCTCCCTTTAACTTGTTCCTCATAGGTAATTTGTAACAGTGAAGGCAAACTGACTAACATATCAGCTAAATTTTACTTCTTTAAACTTCACTTTTCTTGATCCCCTAAGAAATCGTATGTTTGTTACATCCCACAAGCCTCCAATGCTTATTTTCTCTAGCATATGGACTTACTGAAGACATGAGGAACATTTCATTGATCATGTTAACCCACATTGAAATTAAACTTGTCAGAAACAATATGGAGTCACTTATGTTAGGCCCCGGTAAAATGGAGGCTGTGAAGGGCTGGTCCTTGTTCATGATTTGACACATAAGAGAAAATATTATACAAAGAACTGCAACCTGTGCATAGAGGCCACCTCTGTGAGGTCGTCTGCTTAACATCAGCCTATTCTAATCTTGGACACATGCCATCCTTGCTATTGATCCTTGCTATTGTAGCCAAGCACAACTTTTGGTTCAAAACAACTTATGCAACCTTCCTCATTTTACCTGCAAAAACCCTTGTCTTCCTTTGCTTCCCTGGATGTGCCTGTGACTCATCTTAACTCTTGTGTCCCTGGCAACCCTGTCATTCATCCCCGAATAACTGACCGCTGCTGTTGTTAAAAAGCCACTCTCTCTGTTGTTATTTAGGTTGACATCTGTAAATAAGTTTGAGAAAATGGTGGAAAATATAAATAAGAGCAGAGGGTAAAATAGCACACGTGCACACGAAAGACAGAATATTGTAAGAGGAAGAAAATAGACGAAAGATTATAGGAAGGGAGAGAGGGCAGAGGAGGAGAGGAGACATTTAGGCAAGTGTGACTCATCTGGTTTATTTTTTGCTTCCCAGGCTCTCGAGCTAGCGGGTTAGGTCCAGGGTGCTCTCCGGCCATTGTTCCTGTGGCAGCAAAGATGAAAGTCAGACAAAATAATCCAAAAAGTGCTGAACTATGACAGCTAAGTCCTTAGGGGTTTATTAGACTTTACTATCCTCAGACCTTGAGGAAAATCTTCAGCTGAAGTCCATTAAGCAAATTAAAATGAAGGAGAAAAATAAACATAGATTGATGTAGATAGCAGTTTTATGAGGGGAAAGGAAGCAGTGAGCTCTGTCAAAGCTCCTGGCTGTTACTTATCTCCTTGGATCCTGGGCCCTTAAAACTCTTAAGATATGCTCTCCCCAAGATACCCTGCTGGCAGCCATAAAAGGAAGTTAATAGAACTTTTTTTTTCCCCCTTACCAATCAAGGGCTGGTACAAACTAAAGTAAAAACATAATCCACATTGCTTCTCACAACAGTTCTTGACACCAAACCATTTGTCCTTTGGTCTCCAAGCAGGGAATCATAAATCTAAACATGTCATATATATTGTGATTATACATGATGCTTGGACCTTAAATGAAACCAAACCATATTCCTATCTATTTCACCAAAAGAAGAAACCTGTATGTCAGAGAATATCTTCCAATGTATATCTTTGGGGGTGGGATTATGAGTTGTATCGACAATTCAAGACAGTCTCGAATATTCCAAGTCCTCAAGAATGTTAAGTCAAAAAAAGACTTATTACACACCTGGGAAGTACAAAATGTGCGATAGTATGACCTGCACACAAAAAGAGAAAAGGAAGGATTTGTATTCAAATCATCTTTCTTTTGTAGGCACCTTTGTGAATTTATTTCAGGCATTTAAAAAAAATAAAGCCACCACTTGCACTTGGT